GCTGATGGTGAAGGCAGCAGGGCAGAGCACTGCCAAAAACTCTGTGCCAGGAGGCCTCATACTCTCTTACTCCCTCACTTAGCACCTGAAGACCTGGAAATTCCCAGAAGCCACACAGCTGTGGATTCTGCTGTGGCTGATAAAGACTTTTTTTTAAATGAGTCATTTCCTTCAAAAGGGAGGGGAAAAAATGTGTTTAGATTTCAGCAGAAATGCCCTTCCCCACCATACCCACACACCCATACTTAACCCTGATCTTGCTCAAGACTCTGAACCCTGGGCCACGGAGCATCGGCTGCTGGAGAACCTCCCAGCCAGCCTCTGTGGCACAGCACCCAAGGTCACAACTGGCCCCAGGGAAAGGAACCAGGGCCAGGCCCATTCACTCAGAAAGGCTGGGCCTCTTTCTTCAATCACAGTGACAGGAGCAGACTTGTCTCCTCAGAAGCTGGCCATCCATCTATCTAGCTGTCTTCACTTAACCGGGTGGGGCCTGCCTTTCTGTCTTGTTCTGCCCGTCTTCTTTCCCACCCAGTTTCTCTCTCTTCTCTGCCTATGTGTGTCTCATAGGTGTGTAGTGGTATCTCACAGTGCTTTTCATTTGCATTTCTCTGGTAATTACTGATGTTGAGCATATTTTCATGTGCTTATTGACCACTCAATATGTCATCTGTAGTCTCTGTTGCCCATTTTTATTGGGTTGTCTTCTTATGAACATATTGTGAGAGTTTCTCCAAACTGTATTTATCTCCCCCTTTCTCTTTCTGTTCTTTTTTCCTATCTCTCTAATCATTCATTCGTTCATTTTTCCTTTGCCTTAGTGATTGAGCATCTGATCCATGGGTTCCCATTCTTGGTTTCTCTCCTATTCAGGTGGCCCGCTACCATGACAGGTACCCTCTCTATAAAGCTGAGCAATTCCCATCCCCTTCCCTGACTAATTCCAGAGCTCGAGCTGAGTCAAGCTAAGACCCCTTGGACAGCCTTAACCAGATAATGTAGTCATGTTTTTAACAGTTATTGAGGTTTAATTATATACAGTCATGTTTAAGCATTTAAAGTATACAGTTCAATAACTTTTGGTAAACATATACAGCATGTGATCACTACCAACATCAATATATCAAATATTCACATCATCTCAAAAAGCTCTCTTGTGCCCCTTTGCCATCAATCCTTTCTCCCCACCCTGGCTCTTGGCAACCCTTTATCTGTTTTCTGTCACTATAGTTATGGCTTCTTAAAATCTTATATAATTGGCATTATATAGTATGTAGTCTTCAGCATCCTGCATCTTTTAGGGCACTGTTGAGATTCATTCTGCTGTTGCATGTACCACTGAGGAGTACACCACTGTGGTTATACCACAGTTTGCCTATTGATTCACCCATTGATGGGCATTTGGGGTGTTTCTAGTTTTTGGTTAAAATGAATGAAGTTGCTCTGAATATTAATGTACAAGTCCTTTACGGACATGTTTTCATTACTCTTAAGTAAACATTTGTAAATTCAATTGCTGAGTAGTATGGAAAGTGTAGGATTAACTCTATAGGAAATGGCCAATCTGTTTTCCAACATAGCCTGTATCATTTTGCATTCCCATTAGAAGGATGTGAGAGTTCTAAGTGCTCCACATCCTCACCAACACTTGGTATGGTTGGTCTTTCTAATTTTAGCCATTTTCATAGGTGTGTAGCAGTATCTCATAGTGCTTTTAATTTGCATTTCCCTGGAAATTATTGATATTGAGCATATTTTCATGTGTTTATTGGCCACTCAATATATCATCTTCCATGGTATCTATTACCCACTTTTATTGGGTTGTTTGTCTTCTTATGAATGTATTGTGAGAGTTTCCCCAAACTTTTTTTACCTCCCTTTTTTCCCCCTTCCTTCCTCCCTCTGTTCCTCTTGATCTGTCATTCTCCCATGGTATCTCTGTCCCAGTTTTACCCTATGCCATTCTCAGGGTCTTCCACTGTCTCCCCCTCTCCCCCTTTCTTTATTGCTTCCTTCTCATGTCGTCCCTTCTCTTCTCTTCCAGGATGCTTTAAAACCTGAGAATCTCACATCCTTTCCCATTCCATATTAGAAATAACTCTATCACAAGCCCGCAGATTACTGTCCTGGCCAGGCTCACTGTTCCAAATAGGGGAAAGATGCCCTCCTCCAGTAAAGGCCCAGAGAAGTAAAAAGACAGAGCCTGGTGTAATAAAAAGATGGCTTTGCATTCTGGAATCTTCCCCCTCCCTAAAGCATTAACGGTGTTTATGGATAGCAGTTCCTTTACTCAAACATAATATTGGAAATCCGAGAGTGTTAAGTGAAGTCCATCCTGCTTAATCAGTGCTCCAACAGTCTCCAGAAACATAAGCCCTGTTTATCTTTAAGGAGTTTACCTTCACCAGTCACAGACAAGGAGCAGCCTAGCCCAAAGCCAGCTCCTTCTCATGTCTATTTGAAGGAACAGGTGGGACAATATCTGATTACAAACTCAGAACACTTTATGCAGTGCTAAAAGTACCTCAGGTGGGTGATTGTGGAATGGTTTCTTTTTTCTTAATGCCTTATTATTGAGATATAATTCACTTACCATGCAATTCATCCATTTAAGGTATACAACTCAGTAGTTTTTAGTATATTCACAGATATGTAGCCATTATCACTACAATTTTAGAATATTCTATCACTTCAAAAAGAAACCTGTACCCTTTAGCTATCACCTTATATTCCCCACCATCCCAACCCTTGGAAATGAGCATCTATTTTCTGTCTCTGTAGATTGACTTCTTCTGGACATTTCATATAAATTGAATCAAATAATATGTGGTCTTTTGTGTCTGGCTTCTTTCACTTAATATAATGTTTTCAGGGTTTACCCATGTTCTCTTATGTATCAATACTTCATTCATCTTTATGGCTGAATAATATTTCATAGTCTGGTTATACCAAATTTTGTTTATCCACTCATCAATAAATAGACATTTGGGGTGTTTCCTTCTTCTGGCTATTATGAATAATGCTGCTGAAATAGTTGCCTATAAGGTTTTGTGTGGGCATATGTTTTCATTTATTTTGAGTATATATTAGAAATGGACTTACTGGATCATATGGTAATCCTATGTTTAAACATTTTAGGAATTGTCAGACTGTTCTGCAAAGAGGCTGTACCATTTTAAATTCCAACCAGCAATGTACGAGGGTTTCCATTTTTATACCTCTTCACCAACACTTATTATTTGACTAAAGTGGTTTTTTGATGCTACAACTCAATCTTTAGACTGTCACAAATACAAAGATGACCACACAGACATTTACACAATCACTGACACAGACACACGTATAACATTACATGGTGTGCATACCTGTACACTCCTCTAGAGTTCACATACACACACAGAATCTCATATAGATATTCACAATCCCTTATACAATTGTGTCTGCAATCTTATGCAGCACATGCAGCATACAAACATCAATCCATAACCCATATGTGTGAACAAAACCAGATTTACAATGGACCAAAGCCATCACACATGTATATTAAATTGCCATGGGCTTTGAACAAACCTACATGTCTGCTCAAAACAGAGAGACATAAGTATTTAATAATGCACTCAAACCTACATAAACACAAATATATAAACAATAGTTGTATCCACAAAAGCATGGTCCTAAAAAGGCACACATAAAGTTACCATCACTTATCAGTAGATGACTGAAAACGGACTGAATATATTTACTCTGAATGGCATGGAGAAGATTTCATTATCCTTGGTGTACTAGGTAGGAAGATCTTTTCATTCATTCATTCACTCATTCATTTGTTCTTTAAACTACAAGCACAAATTGAGCACACAGAAATACAATAATGAACCAGACTGGCATATTCCCTGCCCTTATGGAATTTACAGTCTAGCAGGGAAACTCTCATAATCTGTAATATGTGCTCAGAAGGAAATAAGCAAGGCAATATGTTTGCCAAAGCCCTAGGAGAGTAGGCAGTTTCCAGGAACGTTATCACACTCTTTCACCCAGGTTGGGGTACAGTGGCACAATCATGGCTCACTGTAGCCTTGTCCACCCAGGCTGCAGCAAACCTCCCATCTCAGCCTCCTGAGTAGCTGAGATGACAGGTACCTGCAATCATACCCAGCTAATCTTTTTTAAAGAGACGGGGTCTCACTATGTCCCCCAGGCTGGTCTAGAACTCCTGGGCTCAAGCGATCCTCCCATCTCGGGCCCCCAAAGTGCTAGGTTTAAAGGCATGAGCCACCGAGCCCAGCCTTCCAGGAGTTTTATCATTATTGTTTCCTCTTTTATCCTGGAAAAGTTAAAGTGATCCAAATTCATCTTCTATAAGTCATTGGATAGGCTGGTGTGTGTGTGTGTGTGTGTGTGTGTGTGTGTGTGAATTCTAGCAATAGTCAATAATAAGAGTATGGGCTCAGAACTTGGACTACCTAATTTTTTATTTTGTTTCATACAAATTGTGTGACCTTTCTTCCCCCTTTGTCTCAGTTTCTCATCCAAATATGGGGGTTATAACAGTTCCTTCAATAAGGATTAACTTAGCTGATACTTACAAAGCACTTAAAACTGCCTGGCAAGTGCTCACTTCTGAATCAATATTAGCCACCATTTCATTTTCCAAGAGCAGGTTTTCATAGAGGGAGATGGGTGGGGAGGGGAGAGGGACAGGAGGAGGAGCCTGGCAGTGCCCTGTGGACTGTAAATTGGACGGCTCTTCATCTTCCGCCCTATCTGAGCAGTCTTTTGGAATGCAGTCCTGGCATGCCACCCCAGCAGGCCATAAACCAGCTCCTCTCCACTTCCCTGTTCCCATAGCCACCAACCACAGAGAGGATGCACAATGGGTGGCACTGGGCATGGCTCTTGGTTTTCAGCTGTGTGGGGCCCCTGCGTAGCTGCTCTGTTTGCTGTGGGCCTGGGCTGTGGCATTCACTGGTCCTGCGTGGCTATCTTTTCTGTATGTGCAGGTCAGCACTTATCACCCCGCACCTGCCTCTCCAGGACATTCCACAGCCGTGGTCAGTCTGCCTGGCTCCCAGCAACACCTTTCAGCGAACATGTGAGTAAAAGGCTCATCCCTTCACCCCAGTCCTGGCACAGAGGGGTCATCTTTACCAAGTACAGGGGTGATTGAGCATCACCATTCCCAAACCATCCCATCCAGAGAGATAACAGGTCACCTTTCTTTACCACTTCCAAGTGAAATAATGGTGAAAAACACAAATTAGGGCCAGGTGCAGTGGCTCACACCTGTAATCCCAGCACTACAGTAAGCTGAGGCACGAGGGTTGCTTGAACCCAGAAATTTCAGACCTGCCTGAGCAACATAGTGAGAACCCCATCTCTACCAAAAAAAAAATTTTAAATGAATCAGGAATGGCTGTGCACACATGTTTTCCTAGCTACTGAAGAGGCTGAGGCAGGAGGATGGCTTGAGCCCATGAGTTTGAGGCTTTGGTGACCTATGATCATCCCACCATACTCCAGCCTAGGCCACAGGTAAGACCCTATCTCAAAAAAAAAAAAAAAAAAAAAAAAGACCACACAAATTAGCAAACCACAGCACTCTTGGCTCATTATTTTACAAAAGTAGAAAGAGACTGGAAGATTACATATCACAACATCACGGGGAGATTGAGTATTGAGCAATTTCTATTGTCTTGCTTTAGCTTCAAAATGTTGGGTCATAAATAGATGTTGTTTTGGTAATCAGCAAAAAATAAATATAGCATTTTAGAAAGAAAAAGAAAAAAGCCATGTAGAGAACACTCCCCTATTCCCTTTGATAAAACACTCCAGTGTCTCACAGTCCTTGGAGTCTGGAAGGGCTTCCTGATGTCTGAGATGCCTGGGGGCCACAGGCTGGTGACCCCTGAATCTGGCAAACCAATGGATTATTTCCTGAATGCCTTTGGTCAGGCAGCTATTCTCACCTCCACAGCCTCATCAGCCCTGATGGTCTTCGCCCCTCTGACTCAGACCTGGATATTACCTGCCTGATTCCTGTGTGGACTTCAGGGAGCAACTCTGCTCCAAGTTGAGAACTTTCTGCCATGTCACAGGCCCGTTTCCCAGTCCCGCCATGCAGCCAGGATTCTACTGGGTGCCAAAAGCAAAACTTCCCCCCTGCCTCCCACTTCCCAACATCTACTTCTCTGCCTACGTTAAGCTGACTCTTTAGGACACTCCCAGGAGGCAAACACGTCCCTGCTTTCTGGATCAGAGAGGCTTCTATGCTGACCTCTTATTCCCCTGAACCTTGCTGGCTGCCACCATTTTCTTGGGGACACAACAAGCCCTAGTGAAAAAGCATGGTAGTAGAGCAGCACCTTCTAGGTTTGAGGCTCATCCCTGACGCTAATTCTTGTCACCAACTCCTTTCCTTGTTCAAGGCCTGTTTCCCCATGATTAAAGTGCCAAGCTTGGCCTAAATGAGTGATTTGCTGCTGTGTACTGCATGGAGGATGATGGGGAGATGAAGAAGGCAGGGACCTGGCCTCCTCCCCAACTATTTCAACCAAGGGGTTGCATGTTTATCTGCTTTACATGTCCAGGTTTCTGTGTTAAGAAGGTTCTTTATTGTTTTTGTTTTTGTTCTTTGGTGGGGGTGGTTATTGTTTATTGTTCTTTATTTGTATTGGTTATCATTTTTGTTCTTTATTTGCTTTGTTTTTTGAAACAGTCTTACTCTGTCACCCATACTGGAGTGCAGTGGTACAATCTTGGCTCACTGCGGCTGCCACCTCCTGGGTTCAAGCAATTCTCCTGCCTCAGCCTCCTGAGTAGCTGGGATTACAGGCACCCACCACCACAACTGGCTAATTTTTTGTTATTTTAGTAGAGATGGGGTTTCACCATGTTGGCCAGGCTGGTCTTGAACCCCTGACCTCAGGTGATCCTCCCACGTTGGCCTCCCAAAGTGCTGGGATTACAGGCGTGAGCCACCGTGCCCACTCGGCCAAGAAGGTTCTCACTGCTAACCACCCACTGGCCAGCTCCATGCCCCCGATCAGGCACACCTTCCTTCCTCTCTCACCAGTTCTCTGTTATCTTCCCAGGTTTGTAGCCCTGCACTCCTACTCAGCCCATGGACCCGAAGAGCTGGACCTGCAAAGGGGAGAAGGCGTCAGGGTCCTGGGGAAGTGCCAGGACGGCTGGCTCAGGGGCGTCTCCTTGGTCACCGGGCGAGTTGGCATCTTTCCAAACAATTATGTCATCCCCATTTTCAGGTGCGTCGCCTCTAATCCCGGACTTTGGGAGGTCAGGCCGCCCTAGCCCCGGGGGCGTCTGTGGGTTGAACTGATGATGGAGGACCCGATGCTTTTGCAGAAAACAGGCCAAGAAAGGGCTTCTCGCTGTATTACCTGCCTATCTCTTTTAAAACCAAGATAGCAAAACTAGTTATCTTTTTTGTAGCTCTTCACAGCTTACAGGCACTTTTATATCTCTTAGCTCACTGGCTATGCCCAAGAATCCTGTAAGGTAGATATTATTTTACAGATGAAAATCGTGTGCAAAGTTAAGCAACTTCCTCGAGAACTGGATGTCGGGTTTTCTTCCGCATTAAATCCCAGGAACCCCACTTCACATCCTCTGTCCTAGTGCTCCATCTAGTGGCGTGAGGGGAAAATGTGGTCAGATGACCTCTCCAGAGCACCTCGGGAAACAGGCTGCTCGACCGACCCCTAATCAGAGTTTCCATGAACTCAGACCCCTACCTTTTCCTCCACACCCAAGATGAAATGCTAGCCACCCTGCAGGGTCTCCTCCCTTACAGCTTTTCCCGATCTTTTACGATGCGTGGCATACCATTCGTGTTGTTCACCCCGTCTTTGTCTTGCCACCTCATACCACTGCCACAAATGCACCCAGACCCCAAAACTATCCATGACTCCTCCTGCCTTCACCCCCACATCAGCCCGAGCAAAGCCTGTCTCAAGGCAGTGAGGCTACCACCACACCTCAAGCGCTGCCTTTATGACATACCAGAGGGTCACAATCGCTGGGAAAGAGCCCCATTGTGCTCTGTAGGGTGTCATACCTAGTCATATGCCCACTTTTGGGGACCTTCATTTAGGTGAGGCACTGCGGCCGGAGGAGGGCAGCAAGAATGGTGAGGAGACAGCAAACTACATCATGGGTGAAACTGATAAAGAAACTGGGCTTATTTAACCTAAAGAAGACAAGAGGCAGAGGGATCATCCTCTACTGTGTAAATAGAGCAGTAAATTTGTTCCGAGGGAGGCCAGTGGACTGGGACCAGTGTAAGCAACTGGTCTTGGTTCAGTAAACCAAGACATTCAAGAACATCTTGGTTCAATAAAAGGCAGCATTTTCTAGCCCACAGATTTTCCCAACCAGGCTAGCTGGTGAGGTGGTGAACTTTCTTTCTAGAAAGAGTGCAGGTGAAGTTGGTCAGAGTCCCCATAGATCTAGGGTTGTATAAAAAGATTTCTTCACGTGGCAGAAAGTCAGGGTAAAAGATCATAGTTACTCCTTTCAAAGGAAAGTTCTTGAAATTTGTTACAAAGTTGTAAAATACCCAAGGGCAAACTGAAGTCTTTAACTGATGCTTTAATTCATTTCTTTGGCAAATATTGAGTGCAAGCTATATGTCAGGAACTTTTCCAGGCACTGGAGAAATACCAGTTAACAAAATAAATGAAATTCTTGCTTACAGGAGCGTATGTTCTAGTGGGAGAGACACTTGGAAAAAAAAAAACCAAGATATTTAAGTAATCTATATGATGTGTTAATGATACTGGCTAACAAGGAAAATCAGGAAAGGAGAATAGAATTTTTGGAGGTGGTTACAATTTTAGATAGGTTGGTCAGGGATGGCTTTGCCGAGAAGTAAGAAGGAAGGCAGAAGGCAAGTCTTGTGGACCTCTGAGGGAAGTGTCCAGGCTAAAGAAACAGCAAGTACAAACAAAGGGCCTGCAGTAGGCTAGGTGCCATGACTCATGCCTGTACTCCTAGCACTTTGGGAGGCCAAGGCAAGTGGATCAACTGAGGTCAGGTGTTTGAGACCAGCCCAGCCAACATGGTGAAACCTCATCTCTACTAAAATTACAAAAATTAGCCAGGCCTGGTGGTGCACACCGGTAATCCCAGCTCCTCAGGAGGCCGAAGCAGGAGAATCAGGGGTGGGGGTGGAGGTTACAGTGAGCTGAGATCGCACCACTTCACTCCAGCCTGGGAGAAAGAGCGAGACTCCATCTCCAAAAAAAAAAATAAAAGGCCCTGCTGTAGTAGGAGTGTGCCCAACATGAAGCCAACAGGACTGGCTTAGAGCAAGCGAGGGGGAGATTAGGAAGGAGGTCAGAATGGTAATGGGTAGCCAGATCATAAAGAAATTCCTAGGTCATAATGAGGGGATTGGCTTTAAGCCTGTGGCTGGGTTTTGAGCAGTGATGTAATCTTAATTGTGTTTAACCAGAATCCCTCTAGTTGCTGAGTTGAGAATAAATTATATGAAGGAAAAGGTAGAAGCAGATAAACTAGCTAAGAAGATATCATTATCCTGGGGAGAGTTGATAGTGTATTGAACCAAGGTGTTAGCTGTGGAAGTAGGAAGTGGTTAGATTCTGAATACACCTTGGACAACAAGGTTTTCTGACAAATAAAATGTCAGATGTGAAAGAACAGAGGGTTCAAGGTGAGACTGAGTTTTTCTCCCTGAGTAACTGATAGAGTTGCCTTTAAATGAGATAGCAACTGCTCCATAAAAGGAGCACGTTTTGGGATATGGAGGGAAATAAAAGCTTAGTTCACTGCAGGCTAAGCCTCAGACACCTCTTAATAATCCAAGTAAAGATGTTGGTAAGCAGTTGAATATACAAGTTGAGCATTTCAGGGAGAGCTCCAGACTTGAGCTGCTATTTAAAGCCCTGAGATGAGATGAGATCATCATGGTAGGATGAGTTGTATCCAGAGAGTGACAACGAGCCAGAAGCTGAAATCAGAGAGTAAGGGGAGAGACTTGGAGAGTAAATGCTGACTGCAGGAAGGTGGAGCGGCGGGCAGTCAAGCCTGATAATTTGAGTCAAAGCTGGGAAGTATTGAGGAGGGTGGGAAATGGCCTAGAACTGACAGTGAGGTTAAAGAAATGCAATCTTCCTCCTCCTTAACTCATCACCACAGCTAAGAGTCAGGCTCAGCCAATATGACACTCTCCCTTGAAGCCTCTGTTCAAAAGATAGGCAGATCAGCTGCACCCTGCCATGGAAGCCAGTTTGGGGATTTCTCCCCACTGCCCAGGTCTTATCCACAGAATATGGGCTGACTCCTCTCTAATGAATGGCCCTATTCGTTTTCACTGACTACACCACCATGGGGACCAGGAACAGGTTGACAGCTATGTGTGTAAGTCCCCTTGCTGCGAGCATCAGTTCCTAGAGCATTTGGTTGAATATACTTCTCAGGCAGCGTTGACCACAATTAAACAATGCCTTACTTATCTTCATACAACAATGGCTTGTTGTTAAACTGTATATTACTTTGTCAATCAAAAGAAGGGGAGACAATGGGAAAGAGGAGAAATGAGGGGAAATGACCTAAAGGAAAACTTGGAGGCGTTGGTAAGAAGGAAACCACATGGCATCTCTGTGCCGGGGTCTTAGATGAGTTGGTTATTCCCAGGAAATTAGCAGAGGTTACTTAATCAACAGGGTGACATGGTGATTAATGGACTGCTCAATAGGAGATGTGATGTTGGGAATGGATTGGTAAAAGGGCAAGAAAAGCAAATAAAATGATAGTCAGTCCCCATGGAGTTCAGGGAGCTGCAGGCTGGAAACAGTGGATAAGGGATTGTTGTTTCATAAAACTTTAATGCAATGCTTGAAAATCATAGCCCAAGGCTAAAGAATTAGAGTCTTATGGAGGCATATGTAGGGCCTACCAGCTGCCTTAGTTCATTTATTTCAGGCAGAATCAAGGACTTTTCCTGCTACCAAATGATAAATGCTCCACCTAGTCAGGAGGTACGTAAGAACAGAGAGCCCTCTTAGACCTGGGTTCAACTAGTTGCTTGAGCAAGCAACTGTAAGTCTTTGTGTTTTTTATTTACAAAATAGTGGCACTGAGAGTACCTACCTCAGAAGGCTATTGTAAAGAACCCGTGAGATAATGTGGGCAAAGCACTTGGCCGATGGTTGGCATGCAGTAAGCACCCTACATGTATCAGCCAAAATGGCTGGTGTCCATGCTGAAAGCAGTATGACAGCCACTGAACAAATGATTATTGATCCACAGTATATGCAGAAAACAGAGATATAAGTCATATAAATTCTCTGCCTTCAAAGAGTTTGAATTTGTGAAAAAGTCACTGACTGAACAAGAACTTGCCATCGCAAAATGAAATAAACACATACAGGATCTTGTTCTCTGAGCTTAAGGGCTAAAAAGATGTGGGGTGAGGAATGATCAGAACTGGAGTGAAAAAGGATGAAATTCAAGTCTTCTAGTTCCACCAAGGCCTTGATATGATCCACACCCCGCCCCCCACCGCCCTCCTTCCCTCAGCACACCCTCACAGTTACCCGGGTGTAAGGAGGTGGGGCCAACTTTAGTGAAGTCTATAGTTGACAAAACGAGTGTGTATGGGTGGGAAGAAGGTGAGAAGTGGCCATATTTGGTATGTGGTTGGAAGCTGATAGGTTTTTAAATAGGACTCTTGACTGAACATTTTCTTTCTCTATTTCTTCTCTTTAAAAAAAATGTCCAAAACCAGAAAGACCTCTAGCTTTCCAGACTCCCGAAGCCCTGGTCTCTACACCACATGGACGTTATCCACCTCCTCTGTGTCCTCCCAAGGCAGCATTTCAGAAGGTGATCCGCGGCAAAGCCGTCCCTTCAAATCCGTCTTTGTGCCCACCGCCATAGTCAACCCTGTGAGGAGCACAGCTGGCCCTGGGACTTTAGGACAAGGGTCTCTTCGGAAAGGGCGGAGCAGCATGAGAAAGAGTAAGTGGTGGCAGAGAGGTACGTGCCTAGAGCTAAGAGATGGGGGGATCTGACCCCGGGGTACACAGGATGCTCTTTGCAAAAACAGGATCTTGCCTTTAAACTAAGCCCCTGCAAAGGATATTGTACAATTCCCGAATGATGAGTTTTATTGAATGAAGTGTCATACCAACTCAAGGTCATGGCCTTAGGTTACTTCATACATGCTTGTTGAATGATGGGGGTGATGGAAGCCCTGAGTGCCAATACGTAATTAGAACGTGCCCAGTGTGGACATTGGCTCTTATTAAGACAGAGTGATGAGAGCATTTGCTGGATCAGTGCTTCTCAAACTGCACTCCAGGGAATCCTCCATGGGGTGCCACAAGAGAAACAGAAGGCAGGGGTGGGTGGGCAGGATGTGGGAGGAGGAAATGAGGATTAAGGAGGCAGTGACCAGAGCCCCTAGTTCCCACTATGTTATTTAAGTAATGAATGCATAGAACTTTCTTAAAAAGGTTTATTGTATACAAATTGTACAAAAGCAAATCTCCCGCATATCCTTAACTGAGTCCCAAGTTCTCTTCCATGGATAGATAGATGGAAACACACACACCTGTTAACCATGCGCACTGCATTGTTCTGCACCGTGCTTTATTTTTACCATCACAACATCCACATTGCACACATGGCAATGAATACAGATTCTTCATCTTAAGAACTAGGCTCCTTTCTTGACACAAAGTGAACTTCCACATAAGACTTCCTTTTCAGGCATTATAAACAGTGTTTGAAACCCAATTCTTACACGAAACATCAACATTTTATTTTCTTATACCTCTGTAGAAGACAACTAGCCAAGCCCCATAAATATGATTTATTCTGTGTTCTCTGAATTAAACTAAGCTGTGCGATCTCTCTTATGATCTTAACAAATGAATTAATGAAAATGCAATATGATTGGTCAAGGCAGAAGAATAATGTGTGGGACAATATGACCCTTTTAAAGGAAAACTCCATTAAAAAGAAAGCACATATTTTAGCTTCCCTGTCCAGTGCCTTTTTCATCTGACAGCCTGCTTGACCACCAGTCCCACGACTCTGAGCACTTCATTCCACTCAACCATGCCTCCCTCCATCACCTTCCTGTACCTCCCTCCACTGCTCCCCACAACACACCCACTGTAAGCAAACCAACCACAATAACCTTGAGCAAATGACTAACTTCTTCAGCCTTCAGTTCACTCTTCTGTAAAAGGGAAATAAAAATTCCTGCCTCATCAGGGTTAACTTAATAAAACAACCCATATATGACTGATAGCACAGTGCCTGGCACATAACAATCTGTCAAGAAACATTAGTTTTTTATATAATATTTTTATGACTATCATTGCTACTACAATCAAATCATCTTTGGTTCATCCAGAGCACAAACTCACTTAGGGTTGAAATGTTCATACACAGCTGAATGTGTGTAGCTCACACCTGTAATCCTAGCACTTTGGGAGGCTGAGGTGGGAGGATCACTTGAGCTCAGGAGTTCAAGATCAGCCTGGGCAATATAGTGAAAACTCATCTCTAAACAAATTAAAGGAACAAGCTGAGCGTGGTAACACATGCCTGTGGTCTCAGCTACTTTTGGGGCCGAGGCGGGAGGATGGCTTGAGCCGGGGAAGTTGAGACTGCAGTGAGCTACAGTCTCCCACTGCACTCCAGTCTAGCCTGTCTCAAGGAAATATATATACATATTTGATTTAAAAAAAAGAAGAAACATTCACACTCAGTCTAGACCACTTAGGTATGCAGAGTTACATCCCAAAAGCAATTGCTCACACTTCCCTTAATATACTCCCTCTCCACCTTAGCAAAATCTTGATGGGCATGAAGCTTCGGCTGCTTGCACTGTATGCACATGTAATAAGAAAGCATTAACTCTCTGGGAAATTAGGAATTGACAAGATAAATAGATAAGGCATCAGACCAATTTTTCATACATTTACAAGAGCCTAAGGACATGTCTGCCTGGTGCTTCTTTGACTTCCCAGTTCCCAGAGGCTTTCTCTTTCTGTCTTTTCCCAAGGTGAGGCTGGCAAGCTATCAATCTCTCCAGAGCAAAGAGAAATGACAGGAGAATTGACCGTGTGAACCTCACAGGGCTGCCCGTAGAAAAATAAATGTCTAAATTGAAAGGTCACACTTGTGTAAATAGTGACTGGCTTGCTTGCAGCAGCTGAGGACACCGACTATGTTAAGTGAGCATCCTGCTTTTCATTTACACATCCGGTTTGATAGAGTCACGATGCAGACGTGGCCTTGGCTCAGGCCCTCTGTGCTGGACACAGATGACTTTGATTCAAACTCGAGTCTGTGGAGTGTCACAAAGGACTAGCAGCTCTGGCTGGGATAAAACCTGCAGCTCTCTAAATGCTGGGAGACCCTCATAGAGAAAGGGGTATCTCCTCCACCTGCCCACAGAATGCAATGAACTCCTGATTCCCCGGGTCAACTACAGGACATATGTAGCTGAAGGCAGGGGATCTCCTGCCTGCCAGAGAATTTCAGGGGAAGAAATGGCCTTTTACTGAGACAGGACCATCTCAATTAAAAAAAAAAAAAAAGGAGAAGAAGAGTGAGCTCAGGAAGGGACAAAACCAAAACCAAACGTTTTTAGGATATGCTATCCTTTACCCAGAAACAATGATAGCTTACAAACATGCACCGTTTATCATGTTCCAGGCACTGTCCTAACACTTTGCACACCTAATAGAATACAATTCTCACAGCAGCCCAATGACATACTATTATTATCTCCAGCTTACAAATGAGAAAACTGAGGTTCAGAGAGGTGATGGGACTTACTTATCCCAGACTCCCCAGGAGGCCTGATTCCAGGTCTTCTGTCATGAGACATTGCAAAGCCCATCCTCACAGCCCGCACTGTGGCATACCCTTTCCAAATTTGCCTCTTTCTGCTGTTGTGCTTGCCTAGCAGTCACAGTTATTTCCACTCACCCTTTCTCCCTGCAGGCCCCGACAAAAAGGAAGCCCCCACCACATGCCTAAAGCTTCTGTTAAGATTTTCACAGCAAGTCACTCGTCAGACTTTCCCTCTCTCCTCCTCTCTCTTTTCTAATTTTCCTCTCTCCCAGTCTTCTCAGTTGTCTCTCCTTTGTGTTTCTCAATCTCCTGTCTCTGATTCTGTCATTTGTTTCCTATTTGGTCTGCCCACCTCTGTGTCTGCTTCATGTGTATGTGTGTGTGTGTGTGTGCGTCAGAGAGAGAGAGAGAGAGAGAGACTGAAGGCAAATGGAAGCAATATACCTTCCGCTGACAGCCCCTCTACACACACACACACACACACACACACACACACACACGCACACCATTCAGCCAAAGAGCTGTTTGCTGCCAGCATCAGTAAACAGCACTAAAAAAAGAATGAAGTCACCTTTCAAAGACCCCAAGAGAATGTGAATGCAGTCAGATTAGGAAAGCACTTGTCTATTCTGGGATACCAGGATGCACTGCCTACCCCACCCCACCCAACCTACTGCCAGCTGCCCATGCTGCTGACCTCTCTGTCCTATAATTCCCCAGATGGATCCCTGCAGAGACCTGTCCAGTCCGGGATCCCCACTCTCGTGGTAGGCTCCCTCAGACGCAGCCCCACCATGGTTGTTCGGCCTCAGCAGTTCCAATTCTACCAGCCACAGGGGGTCTCCTCCTCCCCCTCAGCCATGGTGGTGGAGATGGGGCCCAAGCCTGCCCCCACGGGGGAGCCCGCCCTCACGTGCATCGGCAGGGGCAGCGAGGCCCGGATCCACTCGGCAGCCAGCTCCCTCATCATGGAAGGCAAGGAAATCCCCGTCAAGAGTGAGCCTTTGCCGAAACCACCTGCGTCTGCCCCACCATCCATCCTGGTGAAACCAGAAAACTCAAGAAATGGCATCGAAAAGGTAGGATCAGAGTGACATTGGGGGCCCGACTCTCGATCCTCCACTTTGCACAGTGTCTCAGCTCTGAGATTTTAGTGTTGGTGGACAAGGAACCAAAATTGCAGCCTCAAAAGAATTCTCACGCACAACACTCCTCCTCCTCAGCTCCCCACCGTGCCATGGCCAACATCCCTATATCATTCACACCCTCCCTACGTGTGTTACTGAGTCTCCTTTATGATTCCTGAATATTTTATACATCTTTTGAGGCCCAAAAGTGGCTTGTGACAAAGCATGACTTTGGCATTAGACAAATCTTGTTTTGAATTCCAGCTCTGCTGCTTGCTAGCTGGGTGGCTTTGATCAAAATACCTCACCCTTCTGAAACACTTATTTTGCATAATCTGTAAAATGGAGGTAGAATGAGTAATGGCCACATAGTATTGGAGATTAAATGAGATATGTGAAGTACTTACATAGGGTTTGACACATAATTATGCATTGTATAGAAGAGGCAACTGGCTGGGCGCAGTGGCTCACGCCTGTAATCCCAGCACTTTGGGAAGCTGAGGAGGGCAGATCACCTGAGGTCAGGAGTTCAAGACCAACCTGACCAACATGGAGAAGCCCATCTCTACTAAAAATACAAAATTAGCCATGCGTGGTGGCAGGTGCCTGTAATCCCAGCTACTCAGGAGGCCGAGGCAGGAGAATCACTTGAACTAAGGAGGTGGAGGTCGCAGTGAGCCAAGATTGCACCATTGCACTCCAGTTTGGGCAACAAGAGTGAAACTCTGTCTCAAAAAAAAAAAAATAATAATAATAATAAAAGAGGCAACTGAGACACAGGATAATGTAAGTGACATTGAGGTCACACTGAATGATAATGACCCCAACTAACTTATTGTGACCTCTGTGGCAGAGGTCACATCTGTTAACTTCTAGTCCAGGACTTTTCCCACTAGCAGACATAAGAGTTTTTGTAAAAGGCTTACGTTCTTCATAATATCTTTGAAGCAGAAGGGAAGGCGGGAAGAGAAGACAGTAAGAAAGTTAGGTGATGCTTATTGCTGTCTTTTAACTTATGGATCATCACCGTCATCACATCATGGCCATCACCACCTCCGTCAGCACTGCGATCAGCATCATTCCACCATCATCATCCATTCCCCTCAGATTGGAAAGAGGATATAATTCCCCCTGTTGGTTAAGCAGTTACTGAGTACTAACAGGCTGGCAGGCACTGTACTGAGTACTTCATGTGCCCCATCTATTTAATCCTGACAACAACCCTCTCAAATAGGCATTAGTTTCACCCTCATTTTAAAATTAGAAAATGGCAGCTCAGGGAGTTCAAGAAGATTACCCAAGACAGTTGACACATATATGTGGAGTAGAATCCAGATCTGATACAAAACTCATGCTCTTAATACTAAGCTATAAACTCATTGGGAAAGGCATTGGAAAAAAGCATTGACAGATATAAATGTTGGGAGTACTTGTTCTGAATTACAGAAATAATTCAGAGTTTTCTAGGCCCCAGTTGCCCATTACTCCAAGCTTCTAGATACAACCATACGCATTTCGTAAATGCCCAGACCTTGGCTAGATATGATGAGGGTCAGAAAGTATGAAGAAACTCGGATCTTAGTGGGGGCACTAGGATTGAATTGCATGGGAAAAAAAAAAAAAAAGACATCATTCCTGAGCAGTAGCTAAGAAAGACACTGGCCAAAGCAAATACTGTACCTATAGGTACCTGACAGATACGTAACAGGAGAGAAGAGGTGAAAGGAAAGAGGGAGGGGGGAATTGGCATTCACTGGAGACCTTGTATTTCACATGAAGGGGGCCCTGCTTCTCAAGTCTAACCAGCTGTTGTCAGAATAAGGCATAGGCCCAGTGTGCCAGAACTTTAATTTTTTTGGGGGGGAGGTGGGGGGAGACATATGAAATTCTGATTTTTATATGCAATCTCCCAATTTTTATGTGTTGGCAAGTCGATCAAACCCTCAAACATTCTGCAGACTAAATTCAGCCAGCAGGTGTCCAGTTTGCAAACTGTGCTCTAAGGACTTATAAGGCCATATGGAAATCTCTATCAGGAGAGAGGCCTCAAACAAAAGAGAGGAGAGAGTCAAGGTAAATTTCTTTTATCTTCCAGAAGGGATCTACCCTCTTGTCTCAGGCTGTTTTCACAGGCAGTGGCCTACCCTGTTTCTCCCAGATGAGTCCTAATCCTTTTGTGGTTCTCAGTTTAATGCCTCTGAAAGACCTCCCTGGCTTCTCCACTTCCAGCTGGAGTCAGAGGGTCCTCTGCACTCTCAGCATCTTGTACTTCCCCCATCATAGCACTTGACACTCACGGCAGGCACTGGTATTTGCAGAGTAAACACATAAATGAGGGATTTCAAGTGGCGACAAGCATAGGAAAACTGACATCTCCCACTCACCCGCGTCCATGTCCTCTCCTTTCTCTTGCAGCAAGTCAAAACCGTGAGATTTCAGAATTACAGCCCTCCTCCCACCAAACATTATACCTCCCATCCCACTTCTGGAAAGCCTGAACAGCCAGCCACCCTCAAGGCATCCCAGCCTGAAGCAGCCTCTGTGGGCCCAGAGATGACCGTCCTATTTGCCCACCGAAGCGGCTGCCACTCCGGACAACAGACAGACCTCCGGAGAAAGTCAGCTCCTGGCAAGGCCGCAACCCTGGTGTCCACTTCCTCAGCCATGCAGACCGTGTTTCCCAGCAAATGAACCTACAAGTGGCTTTTCCTGGACCCCAAAGAGGTGAATTGCATTTAAATACAATCTGCCTCCACCGAGGGCATCCTGCCATTCTTTGGGGACTTGAGCACGGGTCCCTGTTCTTTCTATTTTACCTCCAGGAAAGGAAAGGCGGGAGCAGGAATTCCTGCCCTGGGTGGGAAGAGAGACTGGGTGACCTTCCAAACATACAGACATCATGATTTGATGCCGCAGAGCTTGCTTACTCAGACCAAGGAGTGAAAAATTGTTGTGTCCACCTTATGCCCCAGCATGGAGTGTGCCTCTTGTCATTCCCATGTTACTGTGTAGAATTTCTATGGTGTCCTAAAGGGGGCTGCAGCAGGAATGTGACAATGGTGGGATTGTTGGCATTGCTTCTTTGACCTTGCAGTATCCTCAGCAAGCATTAGAACAGCTTCTCCCATCATCTGGGGCCTCTATACCGGCCACAAAAAGATAGTAGCTGCCATATCTTTTTCCCTCTGTAGAGTCATGATCCTGGCTGCAAAGGGAGAATTTCTGCAAGGGTTGTGAGGTGGATACTTTGAACATTTTCAGAACCCAATAAAACTAGGAGTCAGCTTCCTGAGTATCCTCCACTTAAGAAGGTCAGAAAGATCTCTGAGTACCAAACAGCAAAAGATTATAATTGAAGCTTCTCAGTCTGTTTTTCTCACATGTAATCTTATGCGATAGATAAGAAGAAAGCATATGGCTCTGGATAGGGCCATTATGGACAATTAATTCATCCTGGCTATATAGTCAGACTTCTAGAAAACACAGCATGCTTACAAACAATCCTATATGGGGTTAGAGTTTAGACATATAGTCTGACTTCAAGAAAGCACAACATGGGCCAGGCGTGGTGGCTCACACCTGTCATCCTAACACTTTGGGAAGGCGAGGCAGGCAGATCACTTGAGGTCAGGAGTCCGAGAGCAGCCTGGCCAACACAATGAAACCCCATCTCTACTAAAAACACAAAAATTAGCCAAGCATGGTGGCATGTGCCTGTAATACCACCTACTCGGGAGGCTGAGGCACAGAGCTGAGATCGCGTCACCGCACACCAGCCAGGGTGACAGAGTGAGACTCTAAAAAAAGAAGAAAAGCACAACGTGCTTAAAAACAACCTTATGTGGGGTGGGTTTAGCTATATATTTGGATATATATTGTTCTGACTTCCCCTGGTTTCTTCTCAGTTGGGGCAAATGAGCTGTTTCACCCACAAGGCAACAACATTGTGGGAATATGGCAGCCCGAGGCTGGAGTGGGGGAGCTTCCTAAGGGAAAGCTGCTATAAAAGGGGGAGAACAAAGAAAACTGGAGGAGAAAAGAGGGTAAAGGAGAAGGAGAAAGTAGGAGGGCAAAGAAAATATGGAGGAGAGAGGGTGGGTGTGAGAGTAAGAGTGAAAGAGGATAGAGGAAAGCCAGGCAGAAGAGGCTAAAGGAGATGAGGGGTGGGCAACCTTACATTCCCGACAGGGTGGGGGAAGGAGGACGGAGCCTGCGGCGAAGAATGGGGCACAGCTAGGTGACCCCACTAAGATGAGACTGATGTGAGCAGGACCAGCCAGGCAGAGCCTTGTAATCAGGGTAGAGGAGGCATCCCAGGAGGCCCAGGCAATGCTGTGAGAGAACCATTCATTTCATTAAACTTAATTGTTGTGATTTAACATTTACTGTGTGCCCATCAACATGGGCACTTTAACAAATAAATAACATTTGCTGCTAAGGCTGGGTGCCATAAAAAATAAAAAATAAAAAAATTAAAGAAAAGGCAGGTCTACTTAGACCTTTCCCCTAGGTAGGTCTTGAAGGTCCTGGGATTCAAAACACGTATCTTTTACATACCCACTCACACACTCAGCAAACTGAACTGTCCACATTTTGCAGACCTTAATAAAACAAACCATACTCCTCTCATAAAATACTGCCATTGCGTCAGACCTTAGGGGCCAGTATAGCCAACAGGGTAGCACGTTGTTCTAGCAATCTCAATCACGTTTGGGTCCGTATCTCACAAACTTTGGGTCAATATCTCACCTTTGTAGACCTAAACAAATATGAGATACTGACCCATTAGTTCCACAAAATCAACATGCCCAAATCCATGCCTCACTGAACTAAATATAATAATCCAATTGGAGAAATGAGATAAAGTCACAAGGACAGGGAGGCATTGTGTGATTTGTCAAAATGTAAATACCTATCCCTCATCTTTACCCAAAAAGCACTCTCAATGGGTTTAGCAATGTTTAGCAGTCTACTCTACACCCAGACTGGCAGAGATACGGCATGACTGGCCGACCAGGTATTTAGTCTATTCCTCAGTAGTGATGCATCCAGTTAATTTTTAAGTTTTGTGGCTGATGAGCAGGGTGTTTAGATGTAATGGAGATGTCCTTGCCTTAAGCCAAATGAAATGGAATGTTTTTCCCACCGTCTGTTATCTCTATGGGGTAACCCCTCTGAGTGATGCAAACAACTCCAAACCTTGCCACCACCACTCCATCCAGCCTCCTCACCCATGCACAGCATCAAACTCACCCTCTCCCAAAGCAAATCCCATCTTTGTGGAGTTTTAAGAGGGCATGAAAGGGGCAGAAAATATTATTTCCAAACAAAAGTTGGCTTCACTGGCGGCTTTAACTCATTCATTCCACCAACATGCTTTGTAAATTTATTGTTATACTTTTTGTAGAGACGGAGTCTTGGTATGTTGCCCATGCTGGACTCAAACTCCTGGGCTTGGTCTTCTCATGCCTTGGCCTCCCAAAGTGCTGGGATTACAGACATGAGTCCTCATACCCAAAGACAACATGTTCTTAACATTTACTGTGTGCTAAGCACAGCAATGAAGATGATAACACATCCTCTCATGTAATTTTCACCATATCACTATAAGGCAGGTAGATTGTTCCCATTTCAGAGCCAAAGAGACTGAAGCTTGAAGGTTAACCACAGACAAGGATATACTTTCAAACTATCTGACTTCAGAGCCCAACTTGGCATTTGCTGCACGAACCAAAAACCCATCCTTGACTTCAAGATGCTGATTCTGGACAGCCAGGAGGCAGCACAGTGCATTTTTGGTTGCAAACTCAAAAGAGCCCAGAAAGCTCTGCTGTGCACACAGTTCAGGTCTTCATTTACCACTTTCTGGCCATGGGATGTCAGGCAAGTTACTTCATCCCTCAGAGCCTCATTTTCTTACGTAGGAATAATACAGTGTAGTGCCAACCTCATTAGGCTATTATGAGGATTATCTGAGATAATGATACAATGTGACTTAAACAGTGCTGGCATCATGAACACCTGACAAATTTTAGATGGGATGTTTTTAAGCAAGCAGGCTACTGAAATTTCAGGTGAGAAATTCTAACACAAGGGCCCACCCAGGACTGTGGTGCTAAAAGGAGACACACAGACTAGTCCTGGAAGACAGAACAGCGTCTGAGTCCTGAGCACAAGAGCGAGTCAGATACACACAGTGGTGGGAAAAGGGTATTCCAAGCAAGAAAAGAGCCTCAGCATTTAGGTTTAACTGTAACAGTGGAGCTAAATTCTCTTATACTCGGAGGAATTCATTTCCCTGTGGAACATTCCACAGATCCCAGGTAGAACCCAAGCCCCTCAAGTCTGAAGGTGAAAATTCCATTCTGTGAGAGCACCACCACTCAGCTAAGGTTCGGACAGTCCCTAGGAAGAGTGCCCCTTGGCCCTGTGGTCAGACTCTGGCATCTAAGAGTAGGATTTGATTGGGGGAAAATAGGAGACACCTGAGCAGGGATAGCGGGTCACGCCCAGCTGGGGACATACTCTGAGGACCATACCTGAAGAAATGGTTTCATTAAGCAGCATCAAGATCCTCACTTGGGACTTGTCTCCTTCCCTTTGTGTGTGGAACCCACTCCGCCCCTCCACCCTTCTGTCCCACAGACAGGGATTTCAGAGCAGGAAGAGTTTAAAGGAGCGCACCCACCTGTGTCTTGAAGAGATGCAGGACTGACTCAAAACGTGGCTCAGTGACCTCTAGTGTGTCTTGAGAAGTCAGGGAGTCTGTCCACAACAGGCCTGCCTTCCCCGGCAGCAGCAATCCAGGGGCCTAGGTCAGGGTCCAGGTGGCTTCAAATAAATGAACGTTCGTTCTTCAACGTGCTGTGCCCCAGCAGCCTGCTTCACTCACCCACGTGACCTGCCCCTGAATTGGGCATATTCCCCCCAGAGACTGTGCAGGACTCTTATCTCTCAAGTCCTCAAAAACCCCTGGAAAGTTGCCGAATCCTTAGAAATCAGCTGATCCAAGAAACTCAGATCTCAGGAGTGTAGTAAGCCTGGCCTGGGCCCTAGAGAGTCTCACTCAGTAGTTTGGAAGTGGGCTCTGGGTGTCTGTTGTTTTTAACAATCTCCCCAGGTGAATCTGATTCTCATAAAATGTGAGGCTCCAATCCACCTTTCTCAGAGCCAACATTCAGCCCTGACATCCAGCAGGAGTGTGGCCACACTGGTTGGTGGAATGTTGAAAGAGGTTTGTACTGATCGGTGAATACTGGGTACTCTGAGCTCCCCAAGGCTTCCTCACACCCATACCCTGGTCCTTCCCCCAGGCTCTCCCCATCACTCTCCCATCCAGCACCTAAAGGCTCAGGCCAGGTGCAGCTAAGACCTCTGGCCATAAAGACTTTCTCCATTCCAGCTGGCCAGTGCCTATGCCATCCTGCTTGTTAAATATCTTAACTCTGACCCTAGAGTACAGCACAGGACCCAGAAAGGTCATGCAGAAGCCAAGAGCACTTCTAACAAACCCAGCACTCCTCTCAACCCACTCCTGACCGCTGTCCAGCCCTTGACAATCACCTTCACCTGGCCCTGGGCCTAGGAAAGGCGCTGACTTGGGGGGAGGGCGACTCCATGCTCGCTGGTCTTTCTCAGCTAACACTCTCAAAGGTTTTAGCAATGCCTATGAGCTTCCCAGCTCCTCTGGCGTTGGTTCGGCAGGTACAGAAGTAATCCGTTTCCATGAGAGGAGCAAGCATCCATCCTCATCCTCTCACCCACCTCTGACCACACAGGCAGCCACATATCTTCCCGGGAAGAGAACAGCTGTGGCACGCAGAACGGCAAAGTCCTATTAAGTCTCTCCAGCTGGGACCAAGTGCTTAGCAAGCTGGCACGAGGCAGTGCCGGGCCAGCAGCTGCTGCCACTGATGCTTCTCTTGTTCATATCTTGAGAGAAAAGAACTCCCAGTTCTCCCTTTGACTAAGAGAAGATAATGCTAGCACTTCCAGCAACCTCTCAGGTGACCATGAAAGACAGTCACTTAGGGAATCTGTTTGGCAGTCAGGACTAAACCAGAGACATTAACTCCAAAGATCCTTGCAGCAAATTGGTGTCATGGAGAATAACTCACACAAGGACGCTTTGTTTGAAACAGCAATGTTAAATGATCAAACAGACTGCTTTCCAGGCCTAGATTATGTCCGAGACCAAAGCCGAAACAAAATGTTCCCAGGAGGCCCTCTGCCCACTGATCTACACTTTGACAAGGTGAAGGCAGTGAGGTGGTATCTGAGGTGTG